TATATTTTAAAAATATATTTTTTTTAAATCAGCAGAATCAGCCAATGCAGTCACTTCAGCCAGAACTACATAAATTTCAGCAAAATCAGCCAAAACAGCCGATTTTGGTGCTACCAAACGGGCTCTAGTGTTATCAAAATCACTCTATTTTTTTAAATGTAGTAGCATTGACTTTCTAAGAATAATAACATCATTATTTTTACAGTCCACTTAATTTTGACCCATGTAAATTTCAACCCATAATGTTACTCCATAAAGTACAAATATTGTTACTCCATAAATTACAATAGTCCTAGTTGTTTATGTATATTTTCACTCGCTTGCAATGCATCAGATATTTAATTTCTTCCTTCTCTTCTGAGACTGGCCTTCTCTCGATGCTTTCTCATCTCTTTCGTCCCATCGCCCCCTACCTATGCATATTCTTCTAGAGTATGTTTCGTAAGTGTTTGAAGGTGGATTGAAAAGAGAAGGCTCAATTGATGACAAATAGAAAACTATTTAAATACTTCGTATATAAGTAAGCGAACATCGATCTGAATTTTAATTTTGAAGATAATCAATCTCAAGTTCACTTGTTCCATCTCAATAACATTACATCAACACTTTAAATTCAACAACTGTATTGATAAAAAATGATCAATCATGGTTTTATGTGAACTACATTAAATGAACATACCTAGAATATAATGTTTTCTTACTACGGCCTAGTTGATTTTATAAATAAAAACACTACTAGTCTGTGGGTAATATAAAATTTAAAATATCTTATCTCAAGTGAGAAATCTGAGACATAGAATCCTAATGATATATTAATAAAATAGTACTCCGTAAAATATAAGAGCGAATAGCAATTGGAAATTATAATCGAAAATGTACCTTGAATGCTTGCTTTGGGATGCTTAGCTTCTTCCGAATGACCATATTGTGGCTTAGCTTTGTAATTATTTAATACGAAGCATGTAACACATTTTAATTAATTTGATGAAAGCGGGTATATACGGACATACATACAAATCACACTCGCATGCGTAATTTATTTGGCTGCTCATGTGTATATGTAGATGATGTTCATGTGAATGGTCCAAAGCCCTACCTGATACATACGTGCAAGTTGTTTCCATGAAAACTGCTAAATGGAAACTGTATTCATACGTGTCGCACACATATTTTCAGCATTATGCCACATGGGTGTTTCACTTAGAAGGATTGGCACGTGTGAACAAAAATTGATTGGCGGGAACAGGTTTTGCCTGACGGTCTCATTTTTATATATATAGAGATGTTTTTAAAAAACGGACGTTATATGTGAGACATGGTATGCCCTTATTGTAGTTGTGTATATGAATAGAATAACGATCAATTGACACCACTCAAATATTTTGTAGTTATATATAAAAGTATATTTGTATAATCAATTGACACCACCTATATAAACAAAATTAAGAGAGTCAAAGTATAAATATATAGGGAAATGTATTAGAATATGACTAAAACTCAATGAGTTTCTCAATCTATGACCTAACTAGTTTTAATACTTATCTATGACCAAAAATCCAAATAAATAAATAAATCTCGTTTTTATTTAATGGTTAAATGACAAAAATACCCTTATTTAAAATATGTGCATTTTGCACTAATTTCGTCCAATTAAAAATAATGCACTTTATATTGCCGTTAATGCATGACATTAATGCGCAACTTTACTGCACATCCGGTAATAATCACTGCACTTCCGCCAAAATTAATTTTCTTCTCATTTGCTTGAGGAATTTATTTTTAGATTTTTTTAGATTTAATAATTTTATATTTTACGTTGAATTAAATATATTGGATTTCATGATGATATTACTGCTTTGTTTAACAGCAATACTGGTCATGATCACTGCACAACAAAATTTTCAATGCATTCATTCACTGTCATTTACAATATTATTTATCGTCATATTATATGTCATCATATTCACTGCCCATATTCAACACTTATTGTCATGTTCATCGCCAATGTTCAATGCCCATATTAAATTCCCATAAATCCTAAATTCAACAAACCCTAATCTAAAAAATAATAATAATTATGAATGAGAATGGAAACCAGTTAAATTGCTGTCAATATGCCAGCAATCAACCACAATATAGTGCATAAATGTTCACAGGACTCGAGTATACTCTTTGGGAACCACATATTGTTCCTCCAACGAGGCAACAACATAAGGCATTGGGAAACCAATTGAGAAATATTAATATAATAATAATAATCCTCAAATACCTCAATGATCTCCTCGATCAATTTCTATACAGTAAATAGCCCATGCATATATTATATATATACATCTGTATAAGTTCTATATCTCTTGCCGACCAATGAATCTTTAATTTGAGACCATGGTATCGTGGTGTTTGAAGCTTTTCATCTACCAACAGCTTCCCACCCAGGTCACGTCGGGTGAAATTGCTCCCAGGCCAGAGACCGATATTAGAAAGACTGTTGTCGTGCTCCCAGACTACAGATCTGTTGAAGGAGGCGGCGCTGGCCGGCAGCTAAACGGCGGGTGGAGATTCAACAACGGCGATTGGGTGTGTGGGCGGCGGAGGTACACATGAGCGGCTGTAGCAAAGGTTAGGAAAAAAGAAGTAGGGAATTAGGGTTTTATAGATATAAACCAAAGGGTATATTTGTCCATAAAAATTATCTATAATTTAATTATTTCGATTTTTAATTTTAAATTTCGAATTTTAATATTATTTTAGGGAGAAAACTTGTTAGGTCATAGATTGAGAAACTCATTGAGTTTTAGTCATACCTAGGGTAATTATCTCAAATATATATGACATAATTACATATTTAAAACTAAAAAAAAGTTATTTACAAAAACTTATGTCCTAAATATATACTTCATCCGTTCTTAAATAAGTGCAACGGTCAACATTTCACATTTGTCGAGACACAACTTTGATCATTAATATATATAGATCTCTATTAGTAAAAAATTAAAGAGAAAAGTGTCAAATTGGCCCTCGTACTTTGTACAGAAAGTCAATTAACCCCCGTACTGTAAGTTTCGTCAATTACGTCCTCGAACTTTGAATTTTTTGTCAAAATCGACTTTTAGCAGGTAACCCATTGGTCAGCAGGTTACCTGCTGACGTGGCGCGCACATGGCACACACGTGTCCTAACATGGTGCACACGTGTCACGCCACATCAGTTTTTCTGATTTTCCCCCCTTTTCTTAGTCCTTTCCTTTTTTCTTTTTTTCTTCTTCTCCTTTTTCTTTCTTTCTTTCTCTTCCCCGTCCACCTTTCTTCCTCTCCGGGCATTGAACGCAGTTGCCGGCGTAAACACTAATCGCCAAAAATGGCAGCTGCTTGAAAAATTAAACTAAAAATGTGAGGAGGTGCGCCTATTCACGGGGACCTCCTTTTCATATTTTTTTTGGCCGAGCCCCAAAAGAGCCGGAAAAATGCCAGAAGAGAGTCCGGAAAAGTGGAGTTCCGACCAACTACAAATCAGCCCCCAAAATTCGTCCCGAGCTGCTCAAAATTGATAAGGAGCGCCATTTCGTAGCAAACGAACTCCAATGTATTCTCAAAATGAAATAAAAAATCACATATTTGAGTTAGGAGTAAAATTGATCTCCGAATGAATAATAGTGTTTCTTGAACTTGACGCTTATTGACCGAGAAAGAAAGAAGGGGAGACGGGAAATAGAAAGAAAGATGGAGCTCAAGGTTGTTTGCAGGAGAGATGAAATGGTCGGAGGATTTTTGCAGGGGAAGAAGAAGACGTACGGGCTGGGAAAGGGGAAAAGGGAAATGGGGACAGAGAAAAAAAGAAAGGAAAAGAAAAAAGACGTGGCTGTCACGTGTGTATCGCGTCAGACCCCATGTGCGTCACATGTGCGCCACGTCAGCAGGTAACCTGCTGACCGGTTGGTTACCTGCTAAAAGTTGATTTTGACGAAAATTTCGAAGTAGGAGGACATAATTGACGAAACTTAAAATACGAGGGCTTAATTGACTTTCCGTACAGAGTACGAGAGCCAATTTGACACTTTTCTCAAAATTAAAAAAAAAACAGTTTTTGAAAATTTACAATGAGACAAATTTAATAATATTTTTTTCAAAAATATATATGAATAAATAAAATGTAGTCAAAGTAGAACATGTGAATAGTGTAAAATTTGGTATGTTGCACTTATTTAAGAACGGAGGTAGTATATATTTCCATTTCTGATCATTTGATGAGTTGATCTAAAGGTTGTGCATGCAGGGTGATATTTTGGTATTAAAATCAAAATGTTGGCTCGAATAATTGTAGAAATGTATAATCATCAATAATTTTTTAAAATCGCGTTGTAGAAGTAAAATTTAGTTTATAAAGTTATCACCACTCACATGAATTGCTGGCTACATCCCTAATACTACTTCCGTTGAGATATGACTAGGTGGTGCGATTAATAAGAAAAACACAATTACATGATTGATATTAAATTGATAAAATATAAATGATTTAAAAACAACTAAATTTTACTAATTTTAGTATGAATAATCTTAGTTGTACCACTTGTACGGAACTAAAATGAAAGATCCAACATTTTTAAGGGGCACCGAACTAGTATCTTTTTTTATACTTTCTTCGGTTCTTTTTTAGTTGCAATGGTCAACATTTCACACTTGCCAACGCATATTTTTTAGCGTAATTATATCTTAATCTCTATTAGTAAAAAAATTAAAAATCAGATTTTAAAAATTTGTAATGAGATGAATTTAAAAATATTTTTTTTAAAAAATAATTTTCATAAAATAATAGCGTAAAATGCAATCAAATTAGAACAAGTGAATAATATAAAATTCAACATGTTGCGATAAAAAAAGGGAGGATAGTATGTTCCTTCTTGGTGTTGGCTACTTGGGGTGTTATCCTTATCAACATTAAGTTAATCACATCCTGCATGATTCCCATATTCTCTTCTGATTTGCATATATATAAATAGCAACCCTTCCTTGTGTTTCCTGAATTAACTAACACCAACTAGCTTACCACTGTAGAGATAATAATAATTGTAACAACAAGCAAATTAGTGTCAATAATCCGAGCTTAATAATGGAGAGGGAGGGTAGATCAACAGCCAGGGGTGAAAGGGGTCGTTCCCCATCATTACCCCGACGGTCTTCACCACCACCTACTCGACGGTCTTCATCACCACCTTCCCGACGGTCTTCATCACCACCTTCCCGACGGTCTTCATCACCGCCGCAGACAGCGCCGCGATCGCCGACAGCAGAGGAAATCCCAGATCCCGCAGCCATAACAGCATACTTTGACTCCTTCTTTGGTCCCTCACCTAATCGCACACCACCAGTCTCATCATCTACAGCATACTTTGACTCTGTCTTTGGTCCATCCTCCACGGTAATATATACTAGTACTATGTACTAGTATAGTAGTATATATATATATACATATATATAGAGTAATCTTCCGGTCAGGAATTTTCTGACCGGAGCGCCGTCCGGCCTCCTTTTTTGGGGGCCTTCCCGGTGGTATGTTTTGCTCCAATTTTTTGTGTATGTTCCTCATCAAGTCTAGTTCATCTATACCCAATTTCAGCAAAAGTTTTAATCGGGAAGGTCGTCAAATGATTTTTGCAAGTTAACTGGTCCGGAAAATACATATTCCGGACCAGTTAACTTGCAAAAATCATTTGACGACCTTCCGGATTGAATTTTTGGCTGAAATTTGGTATGGATGAACTAGACTTGATGAGGAACATACACAAAAAAATTTGAGCACAAAATACCACCGGAAAGGCCCCCAATTGGAGGAGGCCGGACGGGGCTCCTGTCCGGAAATTCCGGACAGGAATATTCCTGTATATATATATATATATATATATATATTCACTTTTAATTGTATTATTGCTTACACATGGTCACATGGAAAATCTAAAGAACATGCATGGTGTCTTTCTTCATTTCTGTCGAACAATAAACTTTTTGGGTTAAGACTAGTATGTTTTGTTCTTCAAACATGACTTCTTTTGTCCTATACTAAAAGAATAATTTGATTAAAACTTTTCAAAATAGGAGTAAATGAGTTCTATTTTAAAAATAAAACATGGATATATATTCCCATTTATGAAATATCACTCTTTTAATCCTATTTAGAGAAAGATACATACAATTCATTTGATTGATTCAAGTCATTATCTCATCAATTATTTATATTTTAATGGTTTAGTTGTCATATCTAAAATGTTTAATTGGCCTTAAATTAATTAGTTTCTAATTTTCATTTGTTTAGGGACGGCTGAGAGATCACCATACTCCAGTAAATCAAGCAGGTTGGTGAAAACTAAACTAAATCTACCAATGAATAAGGATAGAGATAAAGAAAAATGGAAAAAATAGTAAAGCGCGCAAACGAGAAAATATAAGCTAACATTGTCTAAAAATAAAAATGTAATATACCCCTGAATGGTAAAAAAATGAAAATGTAATACTCTATAGACTATATATTAAAGAACTTTCCAAAGAAGGATATATTCTCTTTTCCTTTTGAGTCCGTCTTAAAATAAATGCCGTGTTTTTATCTTTTATGAAAATATATGTAGTCTACATCATTTGACAATTTTCTACCGAATTCCAAATATGGTTTTCAATTACTTTATGAATACGTGTGAAAAATTTTAACCTGTTAGTACGTACCAAGTATATAACAAGTCAAAGAAAATGAGTATAATGGAATAGTTATATCAGTACTATACATGAATGTTTAACTTTATCACCTGTAAAACTTGATTTATCAAAACTCTTTCCCACAAATGAAGAACTGAAATTTCACATTTAATGTCATAACTCTTTTTTACTTTTTCCATTATATTGTATAATTGTAAAATTAATTACATATAATCAGTGTTCTTAATATTTGTACTAAAAGTATTTTTACAAATATTAAGAACACTGATTATATGTAATTAATTTTACAATTATTGGATAATATATGGGATAATATATGCACACACATACACTTAGTCACTTACACACTAACACACACATATACACATGTGTGTAGATTGTGCATCAAATAAAAAATCCCCTTCCGGCCTGTGATAAGGAAAAAACAAATCTGGTGCATCGTGTCTAAGATCTAATGATTCAAATATGTCAAAAATGCATTGAAGTGGATAAAAAACGCATTCACATTTTTGTAAAACCAAGGTTTTTCTTCTTTGCAAAAAATGGACTTCCTATGTACAATAGTGTATCGTAAATGACCAAAAGTAATTGACGAAAATCATCTGAATAAAATAGTACACCTCAAATCATTAAAAGTGAAATTATCCACAATGTCAATAAGAGTGTCTAAATGTAGACATTGTGTTGACATTAAGAAAAAGTTACCAAAAGAAAATGATCGAGTAAAATGTCATTTATTTCTTTTTACACGTCTATCTCTTACTACGTATGTTTTACACCCCTTAATACTCCCTTCATCCCTATATAAAGGTCCCTATTCATTTACACACATTTTAAGAAAGTGAGATTGCTTCACATTGTTTGACACTGTTTAGCACGATTATATATATCAAAAAAGGAAATGAGAATTTTAAGGACAACCGAAAGAAAAAAGGGACTTATATAGAAATGGAGGGAGTATTAGATAGTGGTGTGCTATATATTGAAAACATTTTTTACCAATATATACTCCGTATTTAAATAAATTGGTATATAGGGGAAGCATTATTACTGTAGTGAGAAATTTTGTCCTAAATTTCCAGGAACATCTCATCCAGATGAAAATCACGACTATATAAGGACAACGACTCCATGGCCATATGCCTCATCGATATACTACGGTGGCCAAGATGTTATTGTTTTTCCCAAGGTATGTTTCTGAATTTGTTGAATTATGAAACTTTATATTTAATTTAAAATATACTTTGTATCTTTTTAATGAAGTAATGAATTTATTATATTAAACAAACTAAGAATCCTGTCAATATAAATTTAGCTAGCAAAGTAAGTCTGACATTATTCAAATTGTTTAATGCACAATTTATCCCGCGAATCAAAAGTTTAGCATTTGATTGATAAACAAATAGACAAATAAGGCAGGAAAGTTGAAAATTTGGGTAACTAAATCCACTCTAAACTTGTGATCTTATGATTTTGATTAACCTTTGAGATGAAGTCCAAAATCTCAAAGGTTAATGCCTTTTATTTATTTCTATTAATTTCAAGTTCTTAAGAAAATAAATGCCTTGTGATGGTCAGAACAAGAAGCCGCCGCCTAGAAACGAAGATTGATGATATAAATGATGAAACGTATGCTAACATAGGAGATTGGTGGAAAGGTATATATGCTTATTTATTTATTCCTAATATTATACTACGTACTCGTAGTATATTATATTTTTTAATTACCAATAGTAACGTAATGAAATAGTTAACATTACTCTTTGCTGGTTTGCAGGGTCATACCACTACTGATGAGAGATCATATATAGCCTCAAACACAATACATACAATAAGGAGTTGCATGTGCATGTCACACATCACTTCAGTTTCTTTTTCTTTTTTTCTACATTTGTATAAGCTAGCTCACTTGTAGACTAAAGTGATTCTGGCAATTATCCAACCTACATCTTGAATAAAAGGATAATGTTGCCAAGGTCTCTATCAATATGTGTAATCTCTATTTAGTACACAAATACTACAAACCAGCGCGTTTGATAATGAGAAGTATTACAGATACATATACATGCTTTGACGACTTAATTATTATAGTTTTAATTTGACCATGTCTTTTTTCTTCGTTATACAAATTACAAATACTACCTTCATCCAAGACTTTGTCATCATTGACTTTTCAGTCAATGATGCTAGACTTTAGTTAATGATTTTAATTAGCTACGCTTTGGGATCCACAAAGCCCTCAGGTTGGGAATTGGGACATATAGATTTTCTTGTCTAAATCACCATTCAAGAAAGCAGTGGTGACGTCCATGACGGGCACTTTGTCACGGTGCGTCAAAATGAAATTCAATACTAACACTTATACGTAGTATAGGTGAAGTAGAGTTCGTATCCACAGGGAAATGAATAATTTTCTTTTTAGTAAAACTAGTAAATAAGGGGGAGTTTTGGGATTGAGTGATTTAATTTAATTAAATACGAAGATGAACGACTTATATGAGATTTAATTCAAAGATAAAAAGGACTTGACATTGCTACTTTCCACTTGTTGATATATTTTAGTCGATCATTGTTATATCTATAATTTATCCCCTCTCGAATACTCAATCGAGGAGTATCTCCAATTCATCGAGGGTAGTTATTAATAACGGCCATTCATTAATAACCCTTACTATTAATCAAATATAGAACAACGCCGTATACCGATTTAATAGTAGCATTTAATATCTTAACTCCTTGATGAAATCAATTGAGATTGATAACCTCAACACAACGGTTTCGGTTTGAGCAACAAAATTAATCCCTCTTAAGTTTATTAACCATGACCGTGCATTAATAAACCCAAGTTACTTACTTGTGAAATCATCAACGATTAACAAGCGTATTCGTCGATCGATTCTAGTAATAATTAATATATGAAACAAAACTAGTTGATCCTTTAAGTAATGTTCAAAATATTAATATGAAATATGAGTAGGAATTTATTAATATTCAAGGAAGAATATTAAAGATGATAAATCCTACTATAACTAATGTCAAGATGTTAACTAATTGTCATCTTAGCAACACTCCCCAACATTAATATATAGAGGAAGAAAATAAATACTACTATAACTAATGTCGAGATGTTAACTAATTGTCATCTTAGCAACACTCTCCAACATTAATATATAGATAGATTAAGGGAAGAATTAATATTCATGGGAAGAAGTTAAGAATATAACTCACAACTTTAATAATCAACAAGCTTCAAGAGCAACACCAAGAAATGAAAGTTTAGCTCCTCATTTGGAGACTAAACATGCTATAAAAATATAAAAGAAATACTATTCTAAACTAAGCTTAAGAGTATGGAAGAAGGAATGAAAAATAGTGAAGGAAAAGTGTGCTATTTATAGGTGTTTTTCAACACCTTGGGCCGGGTACCCGACCGGGTCAAGTGCCCACCCGACCGGGTGCATGTCAAGATCAGATAATCTTCCACGTTCTTGTGTTTCAGCACGTTAAAATGTCCTGGGTCAAATCCGACCCGACCGGGTTAAATACCTCACACGACCGGGTGATGTAATTTCCTGAACAGTTTCGCATTTCAAGTCTCACCCGACCGGGTGCAATGCCTCACCCGACCGGGTGATTGTCCTGTGCAGCCAATAATCATTTTTCTTCACTGCAAAGTCTTTCTTTCCAACACCATAAATCCTAACTCTACTTTACAACTTACAAATGAGAACTAAAATACAATTAAAACTAAAATCACACAAATGTTCACAAACTAAATAAAATGGTAAACAATCCACACAAATCAAACATAAAAAGATGCATTTATGCACTACTAATTAGTGCATATCAAACACCCCCACACTTGAACCTTTACTCGTCTCGAGTAAATGCAATCCAAAAAATCCTCAAATGATAAGATCATCAACACAACCATCACAAAGTGTTTTTAGAATCCAAATAACCACCAAGTATCCCCGAAATACTAAAAAATTAATACATCACGGGATCTTCAAATCCAACAACCTCATGCAACGAACTCTCTTTGGTCATCACTCTTAGGATCCTGCAAAATCAAAAGAAATACTTTCTCTCATTCTCTCATTTTTCCTAGGCGCCCTTTCGGATTTTCAACCTAGCTTCTTACATTTTTCTTTAATAAATCTCACAAACTCACTGTTATTTTTGCTTAAGCTTCCCTTTGTGGGTTTTCAACTTCACAAGCCTTTTTTTTTTTTGAGAAAATAGAAACAAGAATCAAGAGTATGAATGTGAGCATACCGGAAAGATCTCCCCCACCACTAGTCCATGGCACAGTCCCTAGTTCCCACCTGCATCTCCGCCATCATAGAATCCTCCATAGCCCTGCTAGCCCCTAAAGTGTGTATCCTCATCCATGTGATCACCGCCTTATCCGTCATCCCCGCCTCCACCACTAGAGCTCGAACCGCCAAAATAACCCCATTCAGTGGGGTTATACCATGACGGTGCCGGAGGAGGAGGAGTCACAGCGACAAAGTCACCCTGATGTGCTACATAGGAGTAGATAGGGCCAAAAGTCCTCCTCTGGTCCTCCTGATCTCTCCGCCGATCTTCTTCGTATCTCCGCCAATCCGTTTGCCTTTGCTCCTCGATCCTCTCATAGTTCTGCCTTTGCTCAGTTCTATACAACACAACTTCCTCCCGAAGTTGAGTGTAGTTGAGGTTAAGAGCATTCATGCTATTTAGCATTTCTTGCTCAAATGGTGAATATTGGTGAGCATTGGGTTGTGGTTGAGGTTGTTCAGGAATGAGGGGTGGTGGTTCATATGCAGGTTGTTCTTGTTGGGGTTGTTCTTGTTGGTAGTGGAGTGGTATTCTCCCGGGGAGACAATATTGGTGTCCATCACCAATTTGGTGATCCAAAAGGTCCACAGGGAGGTCGGCTGAGGGTATTTGTGTATAAATGGCATGTGGTGTGTAACGCCCCTCTCAGGGTTAAAGGATACGTTACACTAACTTACTACTTTTAAAAAAATAGTACTGTAATATAACGGCCGTTTGTATAAGCAATAACTCTGACAAAATCTCAAATATAACTAAAATATAACTCCAAATAAAAATCAATAAAATCTAGTTATCACCAACAAATCTGATAACCACCTGGATCCAGGAATTTATTCAAACTTCAAACCTTAAATAAAATTTCTTAATAATACTCTCTTTATTATAATACTGAAATACTGAAACGAAACAATAACTAGCTAGAAGTCGCCAAGGTCGTTCCCGTGAACTCATTTCGGCATGCGTTCCACTCCCTCATCATCTCCCTAGGCCTTGGCCTTACCTTTAGTATCAATACATGCGAAGAAAGAAAACTGATAAGCTTTACGCTTAGTAAGTCACTATGGATCCACAAAAAATATCTAGAAGTCTATGTCAATTTATCAATATATAGATAAATTTAGGCTATAAGCATGCACTGAACAAACAACTAACACATAACTTCTCAAATACATTATGAGGGAGATCTCAAAAGGAAAATATTTCCTAAAATAATTTCTCAAAACTGCTGAAGAGATCTCAAAATATCTTTCTCAAACATCTCTGTAAAACTTTCTGAAAGAGATCTCAAAAACAACTTTCGGTAAAACTTTCTGAATGAGATCTCAAAAACAACTTTCTGTAAAACTTTCTGAAAGAGATCTCACAAACAACGTTCTATAAAACCTTCTGAATGAGATCTCATTAAACTTTCTGTAAAACTCTTTGTGGCTAATTTTACTCTGTGGGCCCGTGATATGTACTCAAAGGCGCCAATCCGACAGCTCAGGGGAGCGACCCAGTAAACATATCGGACTCTCTGAAACTCTGATAACTCTATGGGAACTTGTTCCTGAGTACATATCACTTAATCTTTCACTTTAAATATTACTACCTCCGTCCCAAATTGATTTGCAAATTTGACTTTTCTTGGTCTAACAGTTTCATTTCATTCGCTTAATTAGGATGTCAATTTTTAATTATATTCTAATTTGAAGTTTACAACTTTGAAGAGATTTTAATGTAGTTTCTGAATATATAAATTTTAATTATTAAAAATTAAATTAGTTATCGATACGGAACATTGACTTTTATTATTAGTTGACCAAAAAATGTTGACTTTGCAAAACAATTTGGGACGGAGGGAGTAGTTCTTTTTATGGTGACGTTTGACTAAAAACATCATTAAATCTGAAAATAAAACTACTGACAAAATCCTGACTATGCCAGATAATAAACATAACTTAATTCAGCAAATAAAATAACTCATCAAATAATTCACCAAGTTCACATAATAGCAAATAGTCTAAAATCATCTATTAAAAATCAACCAGACTTCTTCCTTTCATTTGGTTGAACAACATGTACAGGTGGTAGTGAACTTACCTGTTAACAGCTGAACTCAATTACTCAAATAAGTGTGGCACTTTGATAACGGGTAAGCTTGTCTGTTAATTCTTTAATTAAATGTAATAATCTAGTTAGCACTTGCTACTCTTTAAGAAAAATTCAACACCTACTAATATTGTTCTACTGGAAGTTACTCTTAAATAAATGAATGTTTCTGAATAATCTGCTCATACAATTTCAAAGGAATATTACTCCTAATCTTTCATTAATAAAAAAAATATTACTTCAACTTAAACTCCGAACTCTTTAGTAGTGAGTAAAAATAAAAATTAACTTTGAAATCCATATGCTAGGAGCTATGCGCAGGAGCAGAAAAAAAACCAATTGCATTTGATGTGTAACTGAAATCACAATTAAAGTCTTTCATATCATTTTGATAACAGAATGAAAAATCTGGCGATTAAGAAAACCAAACATTATAAAAGGATTTATTACTTGTAAAAACTAGCGGGAAGTCTGGACTTGAAGTACTTACAATTATGAAGTAATAAAACTACAAAGAAACTCAAAATTACTCCTGCACTCATTGGTTAAAAGAAAACATGAAGTTTCAATAGAAGGGAAATTTTGTAAAAGAAAACCTGGTAATGGAGACCGTACATTAGCAATTTCGTAAAGGAAGATTTGATCTAAAAACTTAAACCCAAAATCAAACTCAGAACATACTATCAAACTTAACCTTTACTATCAATCGACCCAATTGTTCACCCATAAGAAAATAAGGATGATGAAGATGGAGATTATACTTACACGGCCAGAGAAGTTTCAGTGAAGGAGTCGGCTAAGCAGAGTAGAGACAGATTTATAATCTTGTTTGCTGCGAGTTTTGGGGAGAGCCGGAGAGGGAACTCTTACGGAAGTATAGGGATGAAGAACACTTGGCCGCTCTAGGAAATTACTAAATGATACTCCGTATGTATATTTCTTTCTAGGGTTCAAAATACTGATACGGGCCAAGATAACTGATTTGGGGAGTCTTAGCTTTCTAAATAAATTAAATCTGACCCAATCCAATTTTTTATATTCTCCCTCTTAATAATATACTAATAAAATATATACTATCAATCATTTCTTCACTTAAAATTATTAGAGCTTATCAGTGAACGTTACCTGCCAGAACAACACATAGATCAAACAATAAATCACATTATTCATAAAAGAACTTATACCTAACTGAAATAATAATAACTTTAAGTAACTAGCTCACAAAAAATCGGGGTGTTACATGGTGGATCGATTAACCAATTGTAGATATCTACCCCACCGGGTGTTTTATGAGAAAAAACAATATCTTTGGTATTTTTCAGGAGCCATGATGTGCAAACTAGCTGTGCTGAGGACAATCCTGAGGTAATGGGGCCTGGGTCTACAAAGCCATAGAGTGTAGCTAAATGTGTAATCAAGCCCCCTACCCTAATAGTTCCTGTGGAAGTTGCCACGATCTTGAAGTGATCCCATAGGATGGAGACAACATCCACTTGATCCGGACCTGGTAAAACAGCTTGTCCAAGAATACAAACATCCCAGACCCTTGTGTGATGGTTATTCGGTCTTCCGAGAAAACAGTTTGATAAAAATTTCAAGAAAATTCGGAAGACCGGATGTTGTACACGATTCACACTAAGGTGTCTGAGCTCCACATCCACCTGACCTATCATCCTTTGCCACATTTCCACACCCACAAAAGTGTCATGTTCACGTTCTTCTTTGAACAAGGGGAGGCCAAAGTGTTGTGCAAACTCCCGCTTGGTCAATGAACGTTTCTCATTCGACAAACGAAATGTGATTCTACTTGCAACATGATCATCAACATTTGCTATTTGCTTAAATGAGCTAAAGAATTCATACACCGAGTGAGAAAACCTTTTCAAAAAAAAATGTTTTTAAGGCTATACCCGACCGGGTGATCTATTACACCCGCCCGGGTGATCAGGTAAAAGTGTCCCCTATTTTGCATGGGATAGTGAACATGCCTGGGTCGTTGCATTTTTCCGGGAGTTTCCTCTGAAAAATTGCTGAGACACATTCACTAACCTTTACCTCTTGTTTTGCCTTCAATTTATCTTTTCTCTTCATTGTGCATAGTTCTTTTAAAAACTTTGCATAACGGGGAACACTTTTGATTAGTTTAAAGAGTGAGATATTTACCTCACAATTTGGAAAGGTCTCGTAGAGGTCCCGATCATTCTCCAGCTTCCTTGTGTCCTTCAGCGCCTCAGGGAATGGAGGGAGTGGTTCATATGATGAAAGTGGAGGGAATCTAGCCTTCGTTGGTTCCCCCCTCGTTGTGGTCAAACTCGTCATTGTCTACTTTTTCTTCATCCTCCTTTGTTTGCAACTCCTTACCGCTCCTTGTCATGATCGCATTGACATGTTGTCTCGGGTTTTGCTCCGTTTGAGAAGAGAGTTTTCCCGAGTCTTTGGCCTCGAGCCTACTCACCGCACTTGAGACTTGGCTCATTTGGTTTTCCAAATTTTGGATGCTAGATTTCGTCGTTTCTTGAAATTGGGCCACACTTTATTGCAACGTTGACATATTTGCGGCAGGTGCTCGAATCATGTCTTCGGTGGACATATTTGAGCTTGAGGTTTGGCCTTGATGATTTGGAAAGGATTGTTGAAAGGGCTGATTTTGTTGTGATTGAGGGTTCCCATATCTCAAATTCGGATGATCTCTCCAGCCGGGGTTGAAAGGGAAACTAAGCCCGAGATTCATCGGACCCTACGAAATCCTAGAGAAGGTGGGAAGAGTGGCATATCGATTAGCTCTGCCCACGGAGTTGGATAAGGTAACAACCAATTTGACATCAAATACTTCTCTACGATTAGAATACATTCTTAACATACCGATATATGCTAGGTACATAACGTCTTTCACGTATCACAATTAAAGAAGTATGTTCGAGGTGAGTCGCATATCATCAATCCGGAGGTAAGAAATCCTAGACTGAACATGAGCCAAATGTAAAATGAAAATAATATAAGTTAACCCTTATATTATTAGGTGATTGAAATGGATGAGACATTATCCTATAAAGAAAAACCATAGAGATCCTCGATACTAAGACCCGAGAGACAAGGAAGAAGACCGTTAAGATGGTAAAGGTACTTTGGTCAAACCATCTGACTGAGAATGCAACATGGGAGACAGAAGAGGATATGCGTAAACGGTATCCTGAACTGTTCAACTAAGGTAAATATTGGGTTACGAGGACGTAACCTTTCTTTTAGGGGGGTAGGTTGTAATACCCTACAAACTTGTAATACTTCACTCTCATACTTAAATTTAATCTTAGTCTATGGTTCGAGGGCGAAGCATTCTTTAAGTAGGGTAGAATGTGACACTCCGAAAAATTTATATAAATTAAAATAAATAATTATATTAACCAAGATAACATGTAGCAAAAGTGACACTCTAATAATAATGGAATTGTCCAGATAAGACTTTGATTTAAATAATAAAGTGACGTTTTTTTTGTAACAATAATAATAATACATGAATATTAAAAAGTGACATACACTAGCCAAATAACATGCAAAAGTAACAACATCAAAAGGTTGAGTTGTACACTCAAATAATAATACCCATAGTATATAGGGGTTTTGACATAGATATTACTAAAAATAGACAATAGACAAAAAAAGAGAACTTTTTACTTAATTTCCGAAAATGTGACTAATTATCAATTTCTTAACTAATTTGCCCTCCCTCCCGAATTTTTCACTGCACCGTACGTCACTAAATAATAATCAAGTCCGTAAGACACTAAGCCATAGCAATGCACTCTCACATTAAAGTTTTCGTTTTTTACCTAGTATCAAGTCTATGACAATGTGTCTTTTTATTTTAATATTATTTATGAAGATAATACTCCATATTAAGGTATGAAAATTGCGTAACAACTGTTCTAGTGATCAACTCTCCAGTTACTATCGTTTCAGTCACTATCGCTTCAATTACTATTAATGCTCCAGTTACATCATCTCAGTTACTATTGTTTCAGTGACCACCATTTCAGTTACTACCACTTCAATCACTGTCCCAGTTACCATCGCTCTAATGATCATCATCTCAGTTACTATTGCTTCAGTGACTATCATCCCAGTTACTAACGCTCTAGCAAAAAACTTTGATAAATTATGACTCCCGCCCAGTGACCAATTCCGACAGTGACTCTCGTTCAGTGACCACCGTCCAATGACCACCGCTGAGCAGTTACAGTTACACCCGCCCAACACCCGTCAGTGACAAATTTTTCAACACCAGCCGACGTCGGGCACCACACTAGCCACTATGCCCCGGTTCACCACCGCCGCCGGTGCCCTGCCGCGAACCAACAGTGACCAAACGCCAAGTCAGTGACCAATCTCCTGTGACCAGCTACCTAACCCGTCTTAAGCGCCAACCCCAACCCTCTCTCTAGCCTCCCCCATCCCCAATCCCCCACCACCGTCTGCCGGCCACCCCCAACGCCTGCAGAGTCGGTATCTAACAACACTTCCCACCCCTGCCACCTTCAGTCCCTTTCCAACCCACCATCAACCCCCTCCGGTCCCAACAAACCCAGCCCCTTCCCCTGGCCCTGATATCCCACCGGGCACGCAGCTGCCATCACCCCTTCCGCATCTCCAAGTTTCTGCACTAGCCAAGCCACCATCCCCAACCACTTTCCACGTTGCTCCATCTAACTGTCACCCGACAGCCCTCACCGATCGATTGAAGGATTGCAAATCATCCGGTAGAAGAAAGGAGAAGAACACAAGGAAGAGTAGATCCAATCGTTCGATTAGCAACCAACGGCGGCGATAATGGCCTTAGTGGCGGCGATAATGGCCTTGGAAGCAGCGATTTTATTGACCACCGATTGTGGTGTGGCGGATTTTCCTTTGGTTGCAGCAGACAAGGTACGAAGAAGAAGGAATGATGTGGCAAAATTCTCTTTGGCTGCAACCGAGGGAGGCACGACGAAGAAGGAAAGAATATTAGGGATTCGGGTTCTGTTTTGTATTTACGTGAGGGTGTATTTGTCTGTTCAGATTTAATTAACCTCTTTTTTGTCTAGATTAAGAGTTAGTCCTATTTTTGTCTAACGGAAGTCCAGTAGTATTATTCTTGCCATTATTTCTAATATATAAACTCACATACATGAATAATAATAATAGTAATAATAGTACTAATAATAATAATAATAATAATAATAATAATAATAATAATAATAATAATAATAATAATAATAATAATAATAATAATAATAATAATAATAATAATAATAATAATAATAATAATAATAATAATAATAATAATAATAATAATAATAATAATAATAATAATAATAATAATAATAATAATAATAATAATAATAGTATATACGTGTTTGTAGCTAAGTAATTTATATATGCAATGTATCAAACCAAAGTTGACCTTTCAAGGGACCAAAGCCACATGCATATATACACCACGCACCTGCCATATACGAACAAGGAAGTACACATTCACACACATGCATATGTTGAAGCCAATCTTATAAGGCCAAATCAAGATATACGATTTTATACACCCACATGCGTTGGTCATAGCCAGAACCTTCAATCTCCTAGTAAATACAACCAAACAGGGCTGCACCATCACAGAATGAACAAGCAAATTTGTAGCTAAACACACATATATGCCACCCTCAATCTCACGCCACTCCTAGAAAACCATAGCTAATAACACCTTCAAACCTTCGGCCGGTTGGGGAAGAAGCTAGAAATAGAGACTAAGAGGTAGTCGATCATCACCGGAGGGGGGAAAAGGCTTGCCGGAGTAATTGTCGGACTGTTCCCTACGTCGGAAAAACAAAAGAGGAGGAACAACCGGAGCTCGCAGCTGCCGCCGACTGAGCTATGTCTAACAGGCGAACCACCTGCTATCGTTAAGGTAAGGTTACAATCTCCTTCTTCGTAACCTGCGACTCGGACGGTTTAGCAAAGAAGATGACGGGCGTTAGATTCGGACCGGGTATTCTTCATTAATTGGGCCAGAAGTCTTAATATTAAGTAGTTGGAGTAATAAGACATCAACAAAAATAATCTAATGTGCTGGCCGAATTCCTTTAGTCCTGGACACAAAGTAATTAGTTAATAAAAACGATGCTATGCTATCAATATTAAGTACTGCGGCGTACATAGCAATGACAATAAAATAGGAACAGAGGATAAAAGTAATCATAGTTGTGTTAGGAGATATTTTAATATGGATTAGTAATTATTCTTTTATTTGAATTATCACCTTCTTAGTTACGATAATTACGTCATGTGAATAATTAACTGACCGACATTTCAACTAAAATAGTAAACTAATCAATGGTTATAATCGGACCAATTCATTAAAAATATTTAATATTAATATAAAAAAATGATTATTTGGATTACTGTAAGACTGAACTAGTTGTCACGCCCCGGACCTACCGGACACGTCAACAACCCGCCGTACAGTACGAATAGTCAACCGCAGTCCAACTCATCCATACTATACTAGGCGTCTTTAATACCATTCACACATAGTACATCCATAAACAAACATAATGTAAAAATAATCATTTAAAGCAGTGGAAATATTTAATACAAGTGTTTATGCCACACTTTGGCAAACATGGGCATACAAGCCTCGCAGTAATGATTCAAAAATAATATCCATGAGCATTAATTTAAATATTTTTAAAACAGAAGCGGGGGAAGCACGAACCACATCTTCCTTCCTTGATTTTCCCGAAGCAACGGGCGCTGGTAGCAAGCTCAACTCCTACCTGAAACTGTGAGGTGGCCTTCCCCGTGAAGGGGAGGTCAGTACTTGGAAGCATTTGACAAGTACAATGACAACTATACTAAGTATAATCAATGTTTCAACTTCTAAGACCCTCAAATAGAGTGATATTATAACATAATAGTAATTCTTCTTTAACCCTTATTATCTTCATAATAAGTTAATTAATAAATTAATCGGCACACGGCCCCTTTTCATATATTTCATTATACTCGTTGTTAACACGACACCGCCCGTAGGTCTTATCATCCTTTACGAGACTTGTCACCGCTCTCCGAGGCCTCATGGGGCCCTCGGGCCGGAGTCCAATGCAACATCCCGCCCCTGAACTCATACCCATCATCCCGTAGGAAGGTAAGGTCCATTCGGGGTCCTATCTTAAGTGTTACCGCTATCGGGAGCCTCGTAAGGTCTCCGGTTCGGATTCCACCCTAACCCGTGATCACGATGTAAGTTCATGCTATCCAACCCCGCTCTCTAGAGTCGGGAAGGGCCATGGTCCTTACTATTTACCAACATTCTACCGGCTATCCTCAAGGACTACCGAAATACACCCGTAGACCAATCCTACATCTAGGATCAATTTAATATTCACTTTACCTTGGGTATCCCTTAAGGCCTACCCCTAGTATCACTTAAAGTTCATACTCATCCACCTTAGTATCTCTTATGACTACTTAAGGCTCAACATTTCACAATCCAAACCTTGGATCAATTCTAACAAATTCTCATTTCCAAAACCCCGACTAGTATCTTAATACTAGTCGGATAAATTCCAACAAAAACCAATTTTCAGTTCATAGTCATATAGACAAATTCCAAACTTATTTTCCATTGAAAATATAGTTCACATCAATATACAAATATAACTTTTAATCACTCCTATACTCTTATATGAAGTTAAAATTATATTTCAACATATAGTTTATAGTTAATTCCTTTATCAAGCCAACATGCTCATACACATAATCATACACAATTTATTCTTAAATTTGTATATTATGCACCTTTTCCTTATAGACAATAGTCTTCTCATTCTTAGGCATTATTAATCATTAATAATCCTTAAAAACATATTTAATTACCTTAGGTAATCTCATGAAATTAACTCACTAATTATAAGCAATATAGTCAGTCATCCTCACCTTATGAAGTGCTGAAATAGTTGCCTTTGTTAAGCCCTCCGATCAATTCCCGTTCTAAACCGATTGGAGATGAAAAATCTGGACAACAGACGAAAGCCGGGAGGCTTTTGCAAAAGGTGGGCGGCTTTCGTGGTCTGCAGCTACGAACAGCTTCCTTTAAGTGGCGGTTTCCGGCGATTTCGACTCCTATCGATTCACCAACTCTTCTAAGTTAAATACCACCACTTTATATCAATATAATACACTTTTAAACGTGTAGAACTCATGGTTTAATCCACCATATGATTTCTTAAAAATCATACACCATAAAACTAGTTAAGAGATTGTTTGTTGAGTTCTTACCTCAAACACAACCCTTTTCTTTTTGGATTTCCTTTGTTGATGCTCCCTTCAAGCTATGGACTTTGAGAGGACTCTTCCCAGACCTTATCTCTCTCTTTGTGGTGCGGATGATCTCAATGGGAAGGAGGGGTGTATCTAGCTTCAATGAAGGACCAAAATAATGCTAGGAAATGACATGGGGTGTATGGGTTTGTCTCTACCCATCACCTCAATCACTAGCCCGCACACACACCTTCTCTTGTCTCCCTCCCCATCATTTGGGAGTTATTTGACTGATAGAATACCCCAAGGAGGTGTAGAAAGTCCCTCCCAATTATTCCTGCTATTTTCGGTAGGTTGGGCCAAAATTGCACTCGGGTTGTCCAAATATTTTTATCAACTTTGGTTGGCACTTTATTGGGCTCCTATAATTATTACGATAATTCAACTAAATATTTGGTAGCTCATTCTCATTATTATGGGCTCGATAAATAATTTAATTAATCGCACATTAATTAAATATGCCAATCAATTACACGAATTTTATTCGCTAGGAAATTCAAATACATATCAACCTTCAAATTCAAGTACATACGGGCGCGGTGTCACAAGTTCACCCCCCCCCCCCCCCCCCCCCCCCCGTAACGGGAATTTCGTCCCCGAAATTCACAAATGCTCATTCAAAAAGAAATGCATATTGTTCCTTCATCAAGGCCTCTGTTTCCCTAGTTTCTTCTTCAACTCGGTCACTTTTCCAAAGGATTTTCACCATAGGAACTTTCTTGCTTCTTAGCTTCTTTACTTGCCTATCAAGTATCCTAACCGGGCGAACGACATAGTTCAAATCCTCACGTATTTCCACGGGTGGTTTCTCTAACACGTGAGACGGATCCAGCATGTACTTCTTTAGCATAGACACGTGGAACACGTTATGTATCTTTTCCAATTCTGGAGTCAACTGTAGTCAGTATGCTACGGCCCCAATTCTTTCAAGAATTACAAATGGTCCTATGTAGCGGGGGTTAAGTTTCCCTCGGCTTTGAAATTGGATGATTCCTTTCCAAGGTGAAACTTTCAAGAATACCTCATCTCCCACCTTAAATTCCAAGGCTCTTCGGCGCTTATCGGCATAGCTCTTCTGTCTATCCTGGGCCGCCTTAAGTCTCTCTCGAATCACCTTTACTTTTGACTAGGTGATCTCCACCAATTCCGTGCTGTCGAGCTTGGCCATGCCAACCTCATCCCAACACAACGACATACGACACCTCCTCCCATACAATGCTTCGTATGGAGGCATGCCAATACTCGCCTGATAACTGTTGTTATAGGCAAACTCAACAAGTGCTAAATGGTTGTCCCAACTTCCTTGGAACTCCAATGCACAAGCCCTCAACATATCCTCTAAAATCCGTATGACCCTCTCATATTGTCCATCTGTCTGTGGATGAAAAGCAGTGCTAAACTTCAATCTCGTTCAAATAGACTCTTGAAACTTCGGCCAAAATCGTGATGTGAATCGTGGATCCCTGTCGGATACAATGGTTATAGGAACCCCATGTAGCCTCACGATCTCATCCACATACAACTTGGCTAACCTCTCAAGCGCATAGGTAGTGTTGATAGGTAGAAAATGTGCACTCTTCGTGAGCCTATCAACCATAACCCATACAACATCATAATTCTTCACTGTCTGTGGCAGTCCTACCACAAAATCCATGGTCACATGCTCCCATTTCCACTCTGAAATGGAAACTGGCTGTAGTAACCCCGCTGGATGCTGATGTTCTGCCTTAACTTGTTGACAAGTAAGGCATCGGCTGATGTACTCGGCTATTTCCCTCTTCATACCAGACCATCAGTAACTTTCTTTCAAATCACGGTACATCTTCGTGCCCCCGGGTGCATGGCGTAAGCCGAAGAATGAGCTTCCTCTAAGATGGACTTTCGGAGCTCATCATCCGACGGTACACACACTCAGTCACGAAACAATAAGAGACCATCATCTCTTTCCCTGAAATCCTCCACCGGTCCCACTTGCATGCGTTCCCGGATCTTCATAAGTTCCTCGTCATTTTCTTGACCCTTCTTGATCTCATCAAGCAAAGTAGGTCTCACCTCAAATCGTGCCAATAAGGCACAATCGCTGGACACCTCCAGTTGGGCTCTTAATGCCCTCAAATTAGGAAGCAATGCCCCAGACGAACTCTTCTGACTGAGTGCATCTGCTACAACGTTTGCCTTACCTGGATGGTACTCAATCACTAGATGGTAGTCCTTTATCAACTCCATCCACCGTCTCTGCCTCATGTTTAACTCCTTCTGAGTAAACACGTATTTCAAGCTTTTATGATCTGTGTATATATGACATGTCTCCCCGTAGAGATAATGTCTCCATATCTTAAGTTCAAACACCACTGCTCCCAGCTCTAAATCATGAGTAGGATAATTTACCTCATGCTTCTTCAATTGCCTTGAAGTATAGGCAATTACCCTCCCCTCCTGCATCAACACACATCCAGGCCCTTGGATGCTCGCATCACTATAGACATCGTACTCGATACCCTGTTTGGGTAATGCGAGTACCGGTGCCTCGGTCAATCTCCTCTTTAGTTCAATGAACCTTCCTCACATTTGTCATCCCATACAAACTTAGCTCCTTTACGAGTGAGCTTCATCAATGGTGATGCCAAAACAGAGAACTTCTCCACGAACTTTCTATAGTAGCCTGCCAATCCAAGGATAGTACGAATTTCCTTGACGTTCTTTGGCCTCTCCCATTTGGTAATGGCTTCTATCTTCTTGTTATCAACAGCAATTCGCGATCCTGAAACTACATGCTCGAGAAAGCCAATCTCCTTTAACCAAAATTCACATTTAGAAAATTTGGCGTAGAGTTGCTTCTCCCGAAGTGTCTCAAGAACAAGTACCAAGTGCTGCTCATGCTCTTCTTCAATCTTTGAGTAAATCAAGATGTCATCAATGAACACAATCACAAACTGGTCCAAGTATTTGTGAAATACTCGGTCATCAAGTCCATGAATGCCGCCGGGGCGTTTGTTAACCCAAACGACATAACAAGGAACGCAAAATGCCCTGATATGCACTAGTTTGTAGTGCATAAATGTATGTTTTTATATTTATTCTGTGTGGATTGTTTACCATTTTTAGTTAGTTTGTAAGCACTTGTTTTGTCGTGTTTGTAAATGTTTGTAGCTTCCATTTATAGTTGTAAAATAGTGTTGGAGCTTTTTGGAAAGGAAAAAGGAGAAAAGTCAACAGGAATGCTACCCAGGGAGATCCACCCGACCGGGCAGAAATCTTCACCCGGTCGGGTCTGATTTGAAATCAGAACCTCACAGGAAAGAGCTAGACCCGGTCGGGTCAAGTAATTCACCCGGTCGGGTCAGATGTGACCCGGGACATTTTAACGTGCTAAAACACAAGAACGTGGAAGATTATCTGATTTAGACATGCACCCGGTCGGGTGGGCACTTGACCCGGTCGGGTACCCGGCCAAAGGTGTTGAAAAACACCTATAAATAGCCCCATTTTCCTTCACAAATAATCATCCCTTCTTCCATACTCTTAAGCTCAGTTTAGAATAGTATTTCTTTTATATTTTTATAGCATGTTTAGTCTCCAAATGAGGAGCTAAACTCTTCCATCTTGGTTTTGCTACTTTGAAGCTTAATGAATTTGTAAGTTGTGAGTTATTCTCTTTAATCTTCTTCCTTGAATATTAATTCTTCCTTTAAATACTATCTCTATATCAATGTTGGGGAGTGTTACTAAGATGACAATTAGTTAACATCTTGACATTAGTTATAGTAATAGCTATTTCTTACTCTATGTTAATATTGGGGAGTGTTACTAAGATGACAATTAGTTAACATCTTGATATTAACTATAGTAGGATTCATCTTCTTTAATATTCTTCCTTGAGTATTAATTAATTCCTATTCATATTTCATATTAATATTTTGAACATTACTTAAAGGATCAACTAGTTTTGTTCCATATATTAATTATTACTAGAATCAATCGGTTAATACGCTTGTTATTAATTCGGTTCTTTCAATGGTAGTAAACTTGGGTTGTTAATGCATGCTTCTCATGGTTAATAAGCCAAGGGGAATTAATTATATTGATTAAACCAATAAACCGCTTGTGTTGAGGTTGTCAATCTCAATCGTTTTCATCTTAAGTTTATTGCTACTATCAAGTTAATATACGGCGCTTGTTCTATATTGACTCGATAGTAAGTTTTATTAATGAACGCATCTCGTTATTAATAGCTAACCTCGATGAACTGGATATGCTCCTCGATTGAGTATTCGAGAGGAAGATAGTTAAAGATATAACCGGGATCGACGAACATTTCATTAAGTGGATAAAAGCAAAGCCAAGTCTCCTTCTCATTAATTAAACCACATAACTCGTTCATCTTCGTGTTTAATTTTAATTAAATCACTCAAACCTGAACCCCTTTTGTTACTAGTTAATTAAAAAGAGAAATATTCCTTTCCCTGTGCATACGAACCTTACTTCATTATACTACGTATAATTGTTGTATTGAGTATTATTTTGAGTGCACATCACGACAAAGTGCACGTCAAATTTGGCGCCGTTGCCGGGGAAAGGCAATAATTTTTCTTTTTATTTTAAATTAAAAAAAAATTAAATAAATAAAATATAAAGAGTTCTTACTTTTTCTATTTCTGAGCTAACATGAGTATATGGTAAAAACCCGTTCTATAAACGAACTTACTTACCAAACAAACCCCAAAATAGAACAAACCTTCGAGAGGTTGAAAAATTTATTTCCGCACACACCCTCGGAGGAACCCTCAAACGCCAGCTCTAGCTCTAGCGAATCCGAAGAGTCATTCCACATGGCTCTCGAGACAAGGACCTTAAGGGAGATCACCGCTCCCAACCTCAATCAACAACCGTTATGTATTACCTTCCCTACACTCAATGAGGGTAATACATTGGAGCTAAAATCTGGGCTCATTCATCTATTGCCATCTTTCCATGGCCTGAGCGGAGAAGACCCGAACAAACATCTCTCGGAATTCCATATTGTTTGCACGAGCATGTGCCCAAATGGAGTCACCGAGGAGCAAATCAAATTGAGGGCTTTTCCATTCTCCCTTAAAGACACCGCAAAGGATTGGCTATTCTATCTTCCTTCGGGGAGTATAGATACATGGGCAACAATGAAGAAATGCTTCCTAAAAAGGTATTATCCCGCTTCTGTGTCATCATCTTTGAAAAAACAAATAAGCAACATTGATAAAAAAGATGATGAGTCCTTATATGAATATTGGGAGCGATTCAAAAAGTTGTGTGCTAGTTGCCCATATCATGGGTACACTGAGCAAGACCTCATCCTTTACTTTTATGATGGTCTTGCGGATCAAGATAGGCGCATGGTTAATGCGGCGAGTGGAGGGGGAATTGTTAACAAAACCCCTTCTCAAGCAAGAAATCTCATCTCGGAGTTGGCCGAGAATTCTAGATACTACAATGGGCGATCCTCAACCCAAAGGGTTGCCGCGGCGGAATCCAACACCTCGTTGGAAAGTCAAGTGGTCGGCTTGACTTCTTTGGTTAAAGATTTTCTCTTAAAACCCAAAACCCAAGAAGTCAAGGTTTGCGGCATATGTTCAACACAAGGGCATCCGACCAATTCATGTCCATCAATACAAGAGGAGAATTTTGAGCAAGTCAACGCCTTGGGTTTCCAAGGACATCAACAAAGGAGGTACGACCCATTCACAAACTCTTACAACCACGGATTGAGGGATCATCCAAACATGAGGTACGGAAACCCCCAACAATCCAACCCATCTTCTCAACCACCTTTCAACAATCAAGGCTCAAACTCTCAACCTAATATGTCAACTGATGAAATGATACGAGCTTTGACTTCAAACATGGTTACCATGCAACAAAGCATGAGTCAATTTCAACAAACCATGATACAATTCCAACATGAGACAAAGTCAAGCATTAAAAATTTGGAAACTCAAGTTAGCCAAATTTCAAATGCCGTAAGCCGACTTGAAGCAAAGGACTCGGGTAAACTCCCATCTCAAACGGAGCAAAACCCGAGACAACATGTAAATGCAATCATGTTGAGAAATGAGACGACATTGAAAGAATTGGAGAAGAAAGACCAATATTTTGAGGAGGTTGACCCTGAAGAGGAAGCTCACTCGGAGGATGGAATCACAAAGGCAAAACTGCCTCCACATTCATCATATGAACTAGTGGCCCCATTTCCCGAGGCATTGAGGGAGACAAGGAAGCTTGACAAAGATGCTGACATCTGTGAAACTTTCTCCAAGTGTGAGGTAAACAATCCACTCCTTAACTCAATTAAAAATATTCCCCGTTTTGCTAAATTTTTAAAAGAATTATGCAAAACAAAAACAAAAAATAAAGTGAATGGAAAACAAGAGGTTAAGGTGAGTGAACATGTTTCGGCTCTTTTTCAAAAGAAACTTCCCGAAAAATGTAGCGACCTGGGCATGTTCACTATTCCCTGCAAAATAGGGGACACCATATTTTCTAAGGCGTTGTTGGATTTAGGAGCATCAATAAATGTCATTCCTTATTCCTTGTATAAATCCTTACAACTCGGCCCACTACATCAAACTGGTGTAGTGATTCAACTACACCAGTTAAAATGGTTGTAGAAAAGTGGTGAAAAGTACGAGTATCGTCTCCACAGGGACGGACAAAAGGGAAATAAAGATTAACTAAACTTTAGCGATTAAACAGAAATAAATAAATTAAAATGCGATGTTCGAGATTTGATTGATTGAATTAAAATTAAAACTAATGCTAATGAGCGATAAAAATAAAAGATTGGTTTCTTCTCAATTAACGACGAAGGGAACAGGGATTGATTCCGGGGTAACCAGATTTCTGGCAGATCAGGCCTAATTACATGAATTTAATTTAATTGAGCCTAGCTAATCATTACTAAGTTCTTACCGCTCTCGCGGCGTAGAGTACAATAATTTAGGAGACCAGGCTGATCTCTCATGCGACAGGATCCTAAATTATTGCCAAGACGAGCGAGCTTACGGCCCCTTAATCGCTACTAATCTCTTAGTGAACGATTAAGTGTGTGTGAATGTGTCCTAGAACAAATTAGATCTCTCTTAATTCATTCTACATGCAATTGTAATTCTAGCTGCAGTCTAGGTTACAAGATATACCAATTAAATTATTCAAACACAAATTAAACGGCATTCATGCAATTAAACCGACAAGAATCTAGCCATCAATCATGATTAACCCCTTCATCAACCCCAAATCCCTAATTAAACTACTCACAATTCATAATTGAAGAATCAACAGAATTGGGATGAATAGAAATAATTGTCATTAATTAAAAAGATGAACTTACAAATAATCCCAGGGTCTTGGAAGAAAATAGCGTAAAAACGGTGTTAAATTCGTCCCTAGGCCTCTCCGTAATGTTCGTAACCACCAAAAGTGAGTATGGAGGCCTTATTTATAGAAAACAATGAATTCAGGTCGAATTAGGACAAATCGCGGCCAGGCACGGTGTCAGGCACGGCGTGCCTGCGACCGTGCCTACGGAAGAAGGCCGAATTTCGCATCCAGGCACGGCGTGCCTAGCTTCCAGGCACGACCGTGCCTGGCCTCCAGTAGCTCGGTTCCTCGAAATATGCCAGGCACGGCGTGCCTAGCTCTATTCTTCACTTTTCCTTCGTTTTCTTGCTCCGAATGCTCCCGAATGCCTACGAGGTCGATCCAAATGCTCTTTCTTCACCAGAATTTCGTCGTGAATCTCCCGGTGGCCTCCAAATCTTCCAAATCTTTCTCGAATGCCTTCAAATCCTTCCCGAATATCTCTCAAGCACCGATTGCCGGACTCTAACTTCTTCAAATCAACTCCAAATGCAATGAAACTCGATCCAACGCCTGTTAAACACAACTTGAGCCAAAATTGAGACTTGCAACGCCTTAAAGCCAGGAAAATCATCAAAATCCGACCCGCACACGCATCAAATGCGTGTCTAAATACGGATTTATCAATGTGCTAGTAGAAGTAGAAAATTTGGTTTTCCCTGTTGATTTCTATGTTCTTGAAATGGGGGATGATGACCAAACAACACCCATTCTTTTGGGAAGGCCTTTTCTGAAAACCGCCAAAACAAAAATTGATGTGTCTAGTGGTTCATTAACAATAGAATTTGATAACCAAAAAGTAGAATTCAACATCTTTGATTCTACTAAAAAACAAATTAAAAATCAATCTCTTTGTTCTTTAAACGTTTTTGAACCACCAACACTGAATATTTTTGTTGAGGAAGAACCCAAAAAATCTATTTTGAAGGGAAAACCACCTACTATTGAGGTGGTAACTAGGAAGAAAGTTCGGCCTAACTGGAAAAGGCCGAAAACTAAAATTGAAACATGGCCAAACAGGGCCTTGAAGCAGGAAAAAAGGGATGTTCACGATCCCACTTAAAACATAAAATAAAATAAAAATAACGTCGTGCCGCGACATTAAATCAAGCGCTTCTTGGGAGGCAACCCAAGTTTGTATTTTAATCATTTTCATTTTTGTGTGTGTGAGAAAACCCTTTCAAAAAAAAACACATACCCGCCCTACGCCCGGCCGAGGCAGGCTGAAAAAATCTTAACACAACATTTCTACCCGACCGGGTCTCCCGAATACCCGACCGAGTCATCAAATTTTTGAAACCACTGCTTTGGCTGGAAACATAAATGCGACCGGGCAACATAATTTTTGCAAAACCCGACCCCTGGAACAAAACACCCGACCGGGTCACTTCATTATACCCGGCCGAGTGATTTGAAATAAACCTACTGGACAAGAAAAATGGTAACACCCGAACAGGTAACCTACAACACCCGGCCGGGCGAATTGGCGAAAAACTAACTGGATAAGAAAAATGGTAACGCCCGACCGGGTCAGATCCAACACCCGGCCGGGTGATCGGGTAAAATCCCCATATGGGGCGGGTGAAGACCCTCCTTCCCCATTTCTCTTCTTCCTCCATCGAACCAACCCCCCAAATTCCTCCATTGTTAAGCACCAAAAGCTTCGTTTCTCCCTTATTTTTCACCCAAAACCCACCAAAAATCCAAAGTTCCAAATCCCACCATACTCAAGTCCGAAAATACCAAGAAAAATTCCAAAAATCAACTTTCATGGCTCCAAAGAAATCAAAAGCCTCCACTTCAAGGGATAACAGAGCAATTGAACCCGTCCCCGGATTTGAAAGTGTGGAATTTGACACGGAGGTCCACAAAAAGAGCTTCATTAAGCAAATCAAACGGGAGGTAAAACAATCCCGTTTTATATGCATTACTACGCTATTGTCATTCATGCTTGATGCGATTATGCGTGAGATTTTCACCAACATTGGGATGCTTAGGATATTTGAGATGCAATATGTTACCTACCCACATTTGGTGTATGAGTTCTTTAGTTCATTTAAGCAAATAGCGAATGTGGAAAATCATGCTGAGAGTAGCATCACATTTCGTTGGTTGAATGAAAACCGTTCATTGACCAAGCGGGAGTTTGCCCAACACTTTGGACTCCCCTTGTTCAATGAAGAACGTGAATACGACACTTTTGTGGGTGTGGAAATGTGGCAAAGGATGATAGGTCAGGTGGATGTGGAGCTCAGACACCTTAGTGTGAATCGTGTACAACATCCGGTCTTCCGAATTTTCTTGAAATTTTTATCAAACTGTTTTCTTGGAAGACCGAATAACCATCACACAAGGGTATGGGATGTTTGTATTCTTGGACAAGCTGTTTTGCCAGGTCCGGATCACGTGGATGTTGCCTCCATCCTATGGGATCACTTCGAGACAGTGGCAACTTCCACGGAAACTATTAGGGTAGGGGGTTTGATTACACATTTAGCCACACTCTATGGCTTTGTAGACCCAGGCCCCATTACCTCAGCACAGCTTGTTTGCACATCATGGCTCCTTAAAAATACCAAAGATATTGTTTTTTCCCATAAAACACCCGGTGGGGTAGATATCTACAATTGGTTAATTGATCCACCACATCCTATTTACACACAAATACCCTCAGCCGACCTCCCTTTAGACCTTCTTAATCACCAAATTGGTGATGGACACCACTATTGTCTCCCTGGAAGAATACCACTCCACTACCAACAAGAACAACACCATCAAGAACAACCCCAACAAGAACAGCCTGCGCATGAACCACCACCCCTCATCCTTGAACAACCTCAACCACAACCCAATGCTCACCAATACTCACCATTTGAGCAAGAAATGCTAAATAGCATGAATGCTCTAAACCTTAACTACACTCAACTTCGGGGGGAAGTTGTTTTGTACTGAACTGAGCAAAGGCAGAACTATGAGAGGATCGAGGAGCAAAGGCAAGCGGATTGGCGGAGATACAAAGAAGATCGGCGGAGAGATCAGGAGGACCAGAGGAGGACTTTTGGCCCTATCTACTCCTATGTAGCACATCAGGGCGACTTTGCCGCTATGACTACTCCTCCTCCGGCACCCTCATGGTATAACCCCACTGAATGGGGTTATTTTGGCGGTTCGAGCTCTAGTGGTGGAGGCGGGGATGACGGCTACGGTGGTGATCACATGGATGAGGATGCACACTTTGGGGGCTACCAGGGCTATGGAGGATTCTATGATGGCGGAGATGCGGGCGGGCACTAGGGACTGTGGCATGGACTAGCGGTGGGGGAGATCTGTCCGGTATGCTCACATTCATACTCATGATTCTTGCTTTTACTCAAAAAAAAAAAAATTAAAACAACTTGTTAAGTTGAAAACCCACAAAGGGCAGTTTAAGCAAAAATAAAGCAAAAATAAGAGTGAGTCTGTGAGATTTATTGAAGAAAAATGTGGGAAGCTGGGTTGAAAACCCGAAAGGGCACCTAGGCAAAATGAGAGAATGAGAGAAAGTATTTCTTTTGATTTTGCAGGATCCTAAGGGTGGTTACTAAAGAAAGTTCATTGCATGAGGAAAAAGAATTTGAAGACCCCTTGATGTATTCTTTTTATGTTGGGGATACTTTGTGATTATCTTGGTTCTAAAAAACACTTTGTGATGGTTGATGATCTTATCATTTGAGGATTTTTTTTTTGGATTGCATTTACTCGAGACGAGTAAAGATTCAAGTGTGGGGGTATTTGATATGCACTAGTTTGTAGTGCATAAATGTATGTTTTTATATTTATTCTGTGTGGATTGTTTACCATTTTTAGTTAGTTTGTGAGCACTTGTTTTGTCGTGTTTGTAAATGTTTGTAGCTTCCATTTATAGTTGTAAAATAGTGTTAGAGCTTTTTGGCAAGGAAAAAGGAGAAAAGTCAACAGGAATGCTGCCCAAGAAGATCCACCTGACCGGGTAGAAATCTTCACCCGGTCGGGTCTGATTTGAAATCAGAACCTCACAGGAAAGAGCTAGACCCGGTCGGGTCAAGTAATTCACCCGGTCGGGTCAGATGTGACCCGGGACATTTTAACGTGTTAAAACACAAGAACTTGGAAGATTATCTGATTTAGACATGCACCCGGTCGGGTGGGCACTTGACCCGGTCGGGTACCCGGCCAAAGGTGTTGAAAAACACCTATAAATAGCCCCATTTTCCTTCACAAATAATCATCCCTTCTTCCATACTCTTAAGCTCAGTTTAGAATAGTATTTCTTTTATATTTTTATAGCATGTTTAGTCTCCAAATGAGGAGCTAAACTCTTCCATCTTGGTTTTGCTACTTTGAAGCTTAATGAATTTGTAAGTTGTGAGTTATTCTCTTTAATCTTCTTCCTTGAATATTAATTCTTCCTTTAAATACTATCTCTATATCAATGTTGGGGAGTGTTACTAAGATGACAATTAGTTAACATCTTGACATTAGTTATAGCAATAGCTATTTCTTACTCTATGTTAATATTGGGGAGTGTTACTAAGATGACAATTAGTTAACATCTTGATATTAACTATAGTAGGATTCATCTTCTTTAATATTCTTCCTTGATTATTAATTAATTCCTATTCATATTTCATATTAATATTTTGAACATTACTTAAAGGATCAACTAGTTTTGTTCCATATATTAATTATTACTAGAATCAATCGGTTAATACGCTTGTTATTAATTCGGTTCTTTCAATGGTAGTAAACTTGGGTTGTTAATGCATGCTTCTCATGGTTAATAAGCCAAGGGGAATTAAATATATTGATTAAACCAATAAACCGCTTGTGTTGAGGTTATCAATCTCAATCGTTTTCAACTTAAGTTTATTGCTACTATCAAGTTAATATACGGCGCTTGTTCTATATTGACTCGATAGTAAGTTTTATTAATGAACGCATCTCGTTATTAATAACTACCCTCGATGAACTGGATATGCTCCTCGATTGAGTATTCGAGAGGAAGATAGTTAAAGATATAACCGGGATCGACGAACATTTCATTAAGTGGATAAAAGCAAAGCCAAATCTCCTTCTCATTAATTAAACCACATAACTCGTTCATCTTCGTATTTAACTTTAATTAAATCACTCAAACATGAACCCCCCTTTTGTTACTAGTTAATTAAAAAGAGAAATATTCCTTTCCCTTTGGATACGAACCTTACTTCATTATACTACGTATAATTGTTGTATTGAATATTATTTTGAGTGCACACCACGACAAAGTGCACGTCATGCCCATACCGTGTGCGGAAAGCACTCTTTGGTATATCATCTTCCTTAATCTTCAATTGATGGTACACCGACCTCAAGTGAATCTTCGAAAACATAGTCGTTCCTCGAAGTTGATCAAACAAGTCATCAATCCTAGGCGAAGGATACCTATTCTTGATTGTGACCTTGTTCAGTTGACGATAGTCAATACACATTCGAAGCGTCCCATCTTTCTTTTTCACAAAAAGAACCGGTGCTCCCCACGGGGAGTGGCTTGGTCTAATGAAACCGTTATCCAAAAGCTCTTGCAATTGGGTTTTCAACTCGTTAAGTTCACCAGGTGCCATACGGTATGGCGGTATAGAGATTGGTTTGGTGCCGGGCTCAACCTCGATCACGAACTCAATCTCCCTATCGGGTGGAAGTCCCGGTAAGTCTTTAGGAAAGACATCCGGATACTTGCACACTACCCTCACATCATTAATGCTCGTCTCTTCTTTGGTTTTGTCTACCACATATGCTAGATATGCGTGGCAACCCTTTCTCATCATACTCCTAGCTCTCACGGCGGAAATGATACAACTATTGGATTTTGCCCTATCCCCCTCGAAGCGTAAGGTCCCCTCATCGCCTTCGAGTTCAAGTATCTTTGTGTAGCAATCGACCCTAGCATGATGCTTCTCAAGCCAATCCATCCCCAGGATTGCATCGAATTCAATCATACTCAGTGGTACGAAATCACACGTCAAGCATTGGTGTAATACCCCGAAAATTTAAATGAAAATTTAAAATTTAAAACAATAATAAATTTTATTAACAAATTTGAATGGAGGAGTGAGGGTTAAGGTTGTGTGTACGAAGTACATATACCTTTGATATAATTATAGATATAATTATAAAGAATAAATGACAATAATTTTTCGAGACATTTTTTTTAAGTTTGTTACTCACCTGCTTCCACCAAACACACTTAAACGTATTTGGCCGGACACCTATAACTAAGAATAATACTATTAAGATATATATATTACTAATTAATACTAATAATTATAATAATAAATAATTGGTAGCATTTAAAGTCCTAAACGGACTTCTGTGATTGGAATAAGCCCATGTTGGTCCCGATTGAGTAGGGAACAGTCTAGGGGGGGGGGGGGGGTGAATAGACTGTTCTGATTTTTTAGATTTTTCTCTAAGTCAAAACTTGACTTATGAGAAGTGGTCCAAATCTGATGACAGAGATGGTCGAGTTCTGATATCAGAGCTGGACCAGGCAGCGGATTAAGGTTTAGTCAGGATAGCCTCAGGACAAGTACTAAGGCAAATGCCTTTCTGATAACTCTTAACACCAGATCTGCTGAACACAGATTCCAAGCTTTTAAGAGTTATACAGTTAGAATCCTAAGTGCAGAAATTAAGTGTAGTAAAGTAAATGACACCAGTGATATTTATAGTGGTTCAAGGAACAACGCGTTCCTCTAAACCACTGTTCCACTAAGCTTGTAAATTGACAATTACAATGCCTTAGTCCCTAGCACTTAAGAAGTTCTCCACGTCTTCTTCAAGCCTAGTTGTCACCCCGGATGCAGTTCCGCTTCCTGATGACTGGTCCTTTCACTCAGCTTCCCGGAAGTATCACCACTTCACTACTGCAGTTACTTGGACGCCCTTCTTTGCAGAAGATGTTTAGAAAAACAGAGTTTTTCTCCAACTATCTTCGTCACAAAAGATTTGTTGATGAAGATCTTGAAGTGTAGAAGAACTGAAGGAACTTTGCTTTTTGTTGGGTTTGAAGAATTTGAATAAGACTGATCTTCCCAACGTTAGCTTGTCTTGTTGATGATTGTGGAGGTTGAATCTCAAGAGAGCATTATGAATGATTAAGAGAGCAAAAGTTATCCCATTGTTCTTCGTTGAGTATCTTTTATACTGGGAGTTGTCTACCCGTTGGAGGAGGAGACAACTGCATTGAATGCGCATATTGTGGAGTTGACCGGTTGGACCCGCAGTTTTGGCAGGTTTCTATTTTTGTATAATATTCTCCAGGAATCTCGGTCAATCATCTGCAATTACTCCACAGCGTATTAGGCTCATTAAATGAGCATTAAATGCTTTCCTTTGATGAACTATCTTCTAGCCGCTAGGGAATTTCCCGTTAGTTATACGGCCGTTGAAAGTAGCTCCAAAATCTTCTAAGTATCCATCCAGGTCTGATGAGGTTCTCTGATGGCATTCTGACCTTGGATTCCGATGAACTTAGATATGGAACTCTGATACTTCTCTGAAGTTGAGTTCTGATGAAGCTTTACATCGAACTCTGATTGTTCTCTGATGAGCAGCTCTCATGGATCATCAGACTTGTAGTTTAGCGAGCATCTCTCATAAATTGCCAAGAGCAACTCTGAAAGTAATTCTTATAACAGCTCTGATGCTTCTCTGAAGAGCAACTCTCATGGAGCAGTTCTCCTAGCAGTTCTGATCTGAAGTACCAAGGGGATCTCTGATCCGACGACTATGCTAATACTTACAAGGAAACTTCTAATACAAAATTTCTATAAGGGGGTACTTTAAAATTCTAATCTAACCTAGCATCATCAAAATCTAATTACATTTATTCCTTACAGCCCAAACCCAGGTTGAGTGATGTATATATATACACATACCTACGAAACCCTAGGGCTACGAAAAAGTTAATCTTTGAAACCTTTAGCTTGCGGCTAATAGAGACACATACATATATACGCTCGGTAACCTGTATACTTGGATAGATACACGATGGACGCACAGAGAACCAAAGAAACTGTCGCGGTCTGCATCCTTAAGAATAAGTGAGAGGGAGAGAATCATGTGAGACCGTCGGTGATGAGCTACGCGGTGGCGTCACCGCTAGAGAAAGAAGCAAAACGGCTGCTGGTGAACTCGCCCAGCTGCTGGGTGTAGGTGGTGGAGAAGAAGAAGACTGCTCGTTTGCGATTCCATGTTGCTATGCTACCAACAGGCTGCTAGGGTACCAAGAAGGTTGCAGGTAAGAACCGCTGCAGTCGTCGCCGGAGAAGAAGGTAGTTGAATCGTCGTCATCTTCGCAGAGAGTCGCCAATCCTCGCTGCCATGACCCAACGCCGCTAGAGGAACAATGCCGTCGTTGGAAGGAGCTGACCTCCTCGACCAAAGGAGGAGAAAGGGGAGTGTCGGTAGTCCTTCTCTGCTCTATTATCCGCTCTACTTCTTCTGGGAATTTGGGGAAGGTCGAAGTAGAAACTTTGATTAAGATTAATCGCAACTCGAGGTAAGGACTATTGCAATCAAAACTACTACGTATTATTTTGCCCCTATCATGTATTAATTAGGATTTGTGCTATGATTTGAGCTAATATTTCGGTTATTATAGTATGGATATGATGATGTATGATTTTCTGGGAATTTCTAAACGTGTGATTTTTAGTGAATTTATCAAAAATAGTTGTTATGGCTAAAATTGTGATTTTTGAGGAATTGTTCCTTTAGATTGGAAAATTATGGTTATTGTTTTGGTATGAGTTGAAGTATGATTTGATATTATTCTAGTATGGATATGATGATGTATGATTTTCTGGGAATTTCTAAACGTGTGATTTTTAGGGGGGTGTATTGTATTAGGATTTAGTGGCAAAATTTTAAAAGTCCATGGATTTTAAAAGTTTAGGTGTATTCAATGTGGACTTTTAAAAGTCCACAAAAGTCTAGGTGTATTCAATGCGTACTTTTAAAAGTTTATAAAAGTCTAGGCGTATTCAAATTTCCGTTCATTCTTATTAACTTCTAAAATCATGGATTCTCGTGGACTTTTAACTCATTTTTAGTGCAAAAATTCTCTGCAATTGTCTCTTCTCCTCACCAAAGATTTCCGTGGACTTTTCTTATATCGGTTCTTCATCCCGTCCCACCCCATTCCTCCCCACCCTCCTAGGGATGGACCGGGCCAGACCCGGTTTCTGTTCCGAGTCGGGCCCGGCCGGGCTTGGAATTTTTTGGGTAAGGCCCGGGACCAGCCCGGGAGTCTACCGGTATCGGGCCGGGCCAGTTCCGGGTTGGGCAGGGCTGGTTCATTTTTTCCGGTTTTCTTATATATTCCAACCCTCACCCCCCAAACCCCTCCAAAACACCCAGCCTACCTACCATAGGCCCAACCCCCCCCCCCCCCCCCCCAAAAAAAAAGAAAACAAATAAGGCCCGGACTGGGCCCCAACCGGCCGGGCTGGTCCCCAAATATGCAGTTCCGGAACCGCCCCAATTAATCCCCCCGGGTCGGGCCTAGGCCCGGTACCGGTACCGATCCAAAGGGCCGGGTCGGGCCCGCACAGTGGCGGGCCGGGTCCCAGGCCAGTCAGACCGGCCTCAGGCCAAGCCTACTCCCCCCCTCCCCCAACTCTACTCATCTTTAGCCAATCCACACCTTCTTTTTCAATCTTTCTTTTTTTTCTTCTTCAACCCAGCTCGCCCACCCCTCTCCTTCCGTTCT